CATCCAGAGAAGAGCCATTCGCCTGGTGGGTGACGCCACACTCACTCACTCTTTGACATCATTGGAACACCGTAGAAAGGTCGGCGACCTTTCACTTTTCTATCGATACTTCCACGGGAAATGTTCTTCGGAAATCTCTGCTATCATCCCTTCACTAGCAATACCAGTCAGGCGAACTAGACAAGCCCAGTCAGCACATCCTTTCGTTGTCAACCTCGAAAGATGTCGAACAGCACTTTATCAAAACTCCTCCATCCATAGAACGGCTAGGCTCTGGAATTCATTGCCTGAGGAAGTATTTTCAACAACATATAATCTCCAGGAGTCCAAAAAAATATCCAATACCTACCTCCTGTCCCTATTCTCCCTATAGGAACGCACGATGTTCTTTGAACATTATGGGGATTTCCTTTCGTGCGCTCCAAGTGATAAAAAAAATTAAAAAAAAACTTCATTGTCACAAGAACGGATTGATATAACATGGCAAGTACTCACTTGATTGTTATTTTTTTAAATTGGAAGAGTCCGAAAGAGTGGGTATAATGAAGTAGGAATCATCTTTTGCGTACATTCCAATGTTGAATGTATAGGAGAATATTGAATGAAAGAAGAAAATTGCACTGTATTGTATTCTTGCTGATATTTACTATACTTAAAGGCGACTCACGAGCCTCATGGAAATAATTCAAAAGCATCGATTATTTCAAATCCAAATTACTCGAAAACAGTTGCTCGCAGTGACCTCTACCAGGAATATATTTTTTATACAAAAATGTTTTAGAAATCTATTTTTCAACTATAAAACGTGATACAGGTACGCACAAAAAAGTTATGACTTTTCAACAGATTCAAAAGACATGTAGGTATGTATGTATAGAACTTTCGGACATATGTTTATGCAAACTTTTTTTCTTATTTTGACCTCAGCAACATGCTTCTGAATTTTCTACACGTACTCAAGGAACACCCTGTATATGGATCACTTTTCCTGGACATCCATAGGATTGCTGCCTGTGCATGGACATTCTACGGTTGTCCAAAATGTATCCATGGACACCTTGGACATACAATGGACACAAAACGGATATCCAATGGATATCTTGTGTTATTAGCAAATCGATCTTGTTGATTCCTGACAGAGAATTACTATCGAAAGTATAACGAACACTCATGGTATTACCTCCGAAACTTTTTCCTTTGATAAAGAACCCAGATAGCACAAGTACATCTTATGGATATACTATGGATATCCATCATGGATATTGTGTATGTCCATAAGATATCCGAAAATAAACGTCCATAGGATGTGACAGTACTTTTTGGATGTCTGAAAGATATTTATTATGGATATCCATAAGATATCAACTATGGATATGGATAAGAGATAGTATACCCTATATATAGAAAAAATCACAAAAATTGGGAAGCACTCACGTCCCACTGCATTCGAATAATGTAGTTGTCAGTTCTTATGCATCATCAATTTTGGACGTATTCGTAGGAATCACTACCAAATTCACTTCAAATTCATTATTAAATATGAGGACAGATTGACATTTCTTACTATTCCAAGATTGGTCGAATCGATGATCTATGAATAATCATCTCAGTTCTACCAATCTTGGACTATTTGAGACGTTACGCCACCTCGCGCTGTTTTTGAAAACCGAATTAATAATAATATATAAGCGATAGTGCATCACAGTGTGTTATCTTTTGGAAGACCCACACACAAGTGTTACTTTTGTGGATCTCCTTTTATTGATTTATCATTTCATTCATTGTATATACTTGATTTGAAATTTCTAGGTATTGATCTTTTGTCTCTGTATCTTATGGATATTCTATGGACGTGTTCAGTACGTTTGTTTCGGATATCTCAAGTACATACGCAATCGGATATCTTATGGAAATACATTTTATGTCCACGGATATCCCGCCTTGAATAGGACTTGAAATGGATATCCATAAGATATCAGGTGTTAACTGGGAAATGCAAATACAGGGTGTCCCAAAATGTCATGTTTATATATTATTGGAAAAGGTAATTCTCCATCAGGCAATTGTTGAACAAAAATTCAAATTATTTCAATGATTTGATGAGACTTTCACTTGGATAGACACTTGGTTAGATATCGAAACTATTTATTCAAATACAAACACTACAATCTACAATACGCGATATAGAATTACAATAAGTACGTCGATAACTCGCATAACTCGCATAATCTCTGACTATACTGATTTATCAATTATTTATCTCGATAGTCGCTCTCTAACTAATACTCTATATCCATATATCTACTGCCAGCAGGTTGCCGGCTGATTATATCTGACCCAAACCATTTTGGTGTTATCGAAACGTTTCGAGATCTTTCGCCAAATATTCGAATTCTTTTTAGGAATCAAAACAGTCTCAGGCGAATCCACCCAACAGCGGCGCGACGTCTATTCCGAGAAACGTAGTCTCTTAAAAATATAAATACTGTAACATTAGGAAACACCATACACAGGTAATCTGTATATTGAAAACTTGATAAACAATAAGTAAGGACATTTCATTGTCTACTGAATATGGAGAAAAAAATCTAGTGAGCTGATGGGACATTTATTGGGAATATCAAACTCAACATCACATCTTCAAAAATATACAGGAACCTCTTCACAACCAATATAATTTGCATCTCTGAAGTAGTGTAGAAATCATTGATCCATTTAGGGGGCATTCCCTTGTTCTCGCAGACTTCCGATTAAGCTGCATATTTTGTTCTTCAACAAGTTCCATTCCACTTTCGTTCACATCTAGTTCACATCATAAGGATATTTCATTCACCTCATTACACTTCTGTTGATCACTTATTGATTCTTCTATAAAGGACATTCATGAGGGAATTCATCAATCCCATTTTCTTTTGCTTTTCGCAAGTCGATCCGATTTCTTCCTATTATTATTACCTGACCATTATTCTCCTTTTGTACAGGGTGCGCCTCTTGAAATGGAACATCCCCTCAACTCTTTTGGTTTCAGAGATATGAAGAAATGTTGAATGAACAAGTTTTTTGAAACTACTCCAACTTTCAATTCGTGAAATTGTTTAATATACGGGGTCATTCGTTTTTCTTTCGGAAAGGACATGAACTTTTATTTTTTCAATGGAACACCTCATATACTTTGCGACATGTCGATAGAGCCTTTTTTCTGATTCCAAAAATGAATATGATTTGCATATTTAGATGAAAAATAGTTGAGTTATTGATGATCAAAGTATACCAAAATACCGCTTTATGAACCTTCACTTCATATCATCTAATGTAAGTTGAACATAGTCGGCTTTGAAATAATGTTTATATATTGTTTAAGCTACATGGAAATTTCATGATATTGTTCATCATGAAATTGAAATCGTTCAATCCCAATATAAAAAAATATGAATGGACACTTTTGAATGTTTGAAGATGCGGTATTTTTGTGGTTTTTTCATCAGAAACAATTATTTTCAATACAAATATGCAACTCATATATATTTTTGAAATCAGAAAAAAAGGATCTATCGACATGTCAGAGAATATATAGGGTGTTCCATTAAATAAATCAAAGCGAATCAATTCAAACAACTTTTTGATCAAACATATGTTTCCACATCTCTGAAAACAAAAGACTTAAAGGGAGTTCCATTTGAAGAGGCGCGCCCTGTACGATATAATCTATGATATGATCCATCGAATACCTCTTTTTTTCTTTCAGCCTAGGTTAGGTAGGTTAGGTTCCATGTGAGTGGGGCGAATACCTCCCCTCCACTACGACCCCAGATGGGTCTATTGTGGCTCACCCCTAGAGGTTACAGTTCACCGTACAATCCACATCTTCCAAAGTTCATGGTTGAATTGGGTGAGATTTGTCTGAAATCGATAGGTTCTGAATTGGTAAAGTCAAATGTTTCGAACCTTAGTCTTTCTAAGCTAGAGCATGAACATTTTTTTTATCGCTTGGAGCGCACGAAAGGGAATCACTATAATGTTCAGAGAACATCGTGCGTTCCTAGGGATATATAATATAATATGTGTTCAGTTGTTTCGTCTTCCACACAACAGAACCGACAGTCCGTTTGTTGGTTCAGACCCATCCTTCCCAGGTGGTATCTTAGACTACAGTGTCCCGTAAGCAGTCCAGTCAGAATTCTCAGGTTACCCCTGTTCCATTCAAGGATCGGCCTGGTTAATTTTTCCGATGGTTTAGGCAGGAACGCCTTCGAATGGGTTAATCCTGGTAATTCAGACCAGTACGTGAGTGTTTTTCCCTCCGCCCAGCCCGAGATAGTTGTTTTCGCCGCACTTGCGGTGACCCCAAAATATGGTTCTGGTCCTATGAACACAGGTTCGGTTCCCTGTTTGGCGAGGATGTCGGCTTTCTCATTACTTTCTCATCCTAACTTGATCCCTTATTTATTTTGAATTCAGTAGAAGTACAGTACACAAGTTCCTCTATGTAACATACAACCTCTTGAGTTGTTGAGACCTTTTATAAGTAATCTGTATTTCAATAACATGATTAACAAGTCAGGTCATTTATTAAAAATATAAAAGTCAACATGAAATTTTCAGAAACAAACATGAACCTCTTTACAAGCAATATATTTCACAAATTCTATAGTGAAATGAAATAATAATTCAATGCCAATAGGGATTCTTTCCACTACTATAGCAAATATGTTTTCGCAATTTGAGGGATTTCCAAAAACGATTTCTTGAATCGAATGATAATTGTATGTTATAGTATTGGAGGAAGTATGTTCTACCACAATCTGTGGTTCTACGAACATTGGTTATTGTGCTGTAGTCATCATTGTTCATCTTTAGGTAGGTAGATTAGGATTACTATTTTCTTTTACTTATACGTTTCCGGTTTTCTTATGTCCCTAATTTAATCTGCTGGGATCAACTATCATTCTGTGTACTCCACATACAGTTATTCATGACGCCTCATTAATACACCAGTAAATAGTAAAAATATAATTTATTATGCTATAACATTAAAATATAAACAGTTAAACATATCACGTTCTCTATCTTTTTTTCATTTTCACGGTATTTTCAATATTCGATAGTAACACATTTAGTTTTAAGATATTCATTCAGAGCATCTTGACCTGAAACAAGAGAAATATTATTTTTCAATTTCAGTAAAAAATACATGCAATGTTTACGATATTAAGTGCGTACAGTATATCTTTCACTCCTTCAGATCAATTATGACACTTATTGAAAAACTTATATGCACAGTTGCTATAAAGAGAAAATACTCACAAAACAAAGGCGAATAAGCAAATAAAAAACGAGATGTGACAAAAGATGCAATGCAAGTGGTCAAGTTAGTGATGAAGACTATACTATTTGAATAGGGGTCTTGAAGGAGAAGAAGATTGTAGCAATTGTTTCTAGAGATACGCCGAAATGCTGCAAAATTGGTTTGAAGTAACAATTGGATTACTTATGATAGCAAATACATTCTATTCGGACGGTCGTGAACAATCCGTATTTCACAATGGAACAATTTTATACAACTCATTACCGAATGAGTTGAAGAATAAACATTATGCTAGACGATTTAAAATCAATCTTGAACAATATTTGGCCAGAATAATTTGATTGAATTGATACTTATAAGGCATGACCTGATTACTCTCAACTTTTAGCTTAAGAGAAAGTAGGTGAGAATTTATTTCCATATTGAAAAGAATTCATTAGGTAAACTTCCATTATTATTTTTTGAATATTTTTCTATGTATCCCTATGATAAATATAGTTATGTTCCTTGTGGATATGGATGTGAACAATCAAGTGTAAATGAAGATAACATTTTATGGAATCACCAACCAAAAAAGAAGTATACAGGCTGATCCACGGTGGATGGCCTATTAGAAGTATCTTGAGAACGAAAAGACAGAACATTCTGAAAATTGGGATGCTTTGATAAATTGAACATTCTCTATTCGTCTAAACTATTTTCATCGATACAGTGTTGCCACTTCTATCAGAAAAACTAGCAATTTCGTTATTTCAAATAGAGCACCCTGTATTTTATTGAATTTTTAGATTCTCCTTGAAAAGCTGATTTCATCAATGCATCACACTTTGGGTCGAGCAGGAATGATTACATAGATATAGGGTGTTCAAAATCGAGATTTTTCAATTTCAGGATTTTTTGTGTCGAAACTATTCATTATTGATCAAAACGGCTTACATGTCCCTATCTTGACTTTCGATTCACTATCTACTGACATCTAATTGGAACAGATACAGGGTGACCAGAATTCTGAATCTTGAACCACCCTGTATTTTTTCCAATCAAATTCCAGTAGATAGTCAATCAAAAGTTGAGATAGGGACATGTGAGCCGTTTTGATCGATAATGAATAGTTTCGACACAAAAAATCTTGAAATTGAGAAAATCTCGATTTTGAACACCCTATTTTTCTGTAATCACTCCTGCTAGAGCCCAAGTGTGATGCATTGATGAAATCAGCTCTTCAGAAAGAATCTAAAAATGCAATAAAATACAGGGTGTTCCATTTGAAATAACAAAGTTGCTAGTTGTTTCAGATGGAACGGGCAACACTGTATCGATGAAAATATTTTAGAGAGATAGAGAATGTTCAATTATCAGAGAATCCCAATTTTCAGAATGTTCTGTCTCTTCGTTCTCCACATACTTCTAATAGGCCATCCACCGTGGATCACCCTGTATACAGGCTGATTCACGGTGAATGGTATATTAGACGTTTCTGGAGAACGCAACGTAGGATTATTCTGAAAATTTGGTTCCTTGAATAATCAGTTGTGCTCTATCGACCTGAAATATTCTCAGATGCTACGACGTTGCCACTTATATTGAAAAGTAGCAACAACTTCGATTTTTTCAATGGGACACCCTGTATATTATTCAGTTCTCAGATTGTCCCTGAAGAGCTAATTTCATCGATCTCACACTTGGGGTCTAGCGGGAATAATAACAAAAATATAGGGTGTGAAAAATCTAGATTTTTCAACTTTGTGTCGAAACTATTCACAATTGGTCAAAACGGTTTCCATGTTTTTATCTCGACTTCTCACGTTCTATCAATTGATATTTAATCGAAATAAATACAGGGTGGTAAAAAATTTTAATTCTGAACCACTCTTTATTCATTTCAATCAAATATAAATTGATAGTGGATAAAATGTTGGGATAGGGACATGAAAACCGTTCTGACCAATTATTATGAACAGTTTCGACACAAAAATTTGCTACAGTTGAAAAATCTCGATTTTTCACATATCCTATAACTCTGTAATTATTACTGCTAGACCATAAGTGTTATGTGTCAATGAAGTCATCTGTCCAGGAAGATTCTGAAAATGGAATAATATACAGGGTGTCCCATTTGAAAATCCTAATTTGTTGCTATAATTTTCAATATAAGATGCAACGTCGCAATGCTGAGAATATTTCAGGTCAATAGAACACAATTATTTATTTCTCCAGAAACATCTAATTTATACCTACCTACACAACATAAATAACACAATGGGTCCAATAAATTTGGAATAGTAATTCCTATAATGATTCATCATTTCTTGATCGAAATTCTATCAGACGCTGTCATAATAACAACTGTACTCAATCATATTTCTACTACAACATTCCTAAAATACATGAAACGTGATTGAATGCCTAGTTGATCAACGTTTGCTCGAAAGTTTGTTCCTGCCATCTCTGAAGAGAAGGCCATCAAGAAATGTTTCGTGAAATCTTAGTTTTCTAGAGGAGTAGGCACATTAACCTATCTATTTTCTACCATTCTACGAAGTGGAAGCGGCGTAAAGTTAGGTACCTACATTTGATATGTATAGATAACCTGTTCGGAATAGCGCGTCATGAGCTCAAGAAGCAAGAAGACCAAATAATTGGTTATATTCAGAGCTATAAATGGCCGTAGGTACGTTAGGTTCCATGTGAGTGGGGCGAACACCTCCCCTCCACTGCGACCCCAGATGGGTCTATTGTGGCTCACCCCTAGAGGTTACAGTTCACCGTACAATCCACATCTTTTTACAAAGTTCATGGTTGAATTGGGTGAGATTTGTCTGAAATCGATAGGTTCTAGGTACGTAGTTCCACAGCCGTCTTCAACTGAAGACGGCTGTGGTAGTTCATATCACCTTCAGCTTTATATTTAATTAATTCCTATACACGTCAAAATATCCATTTAAATATCTCAAAGCTATATGACAGTCGAACGGTGTTACGGTTCTAAACCTACTAAAGACAGATTTATTTTCATCTGATGGTGAATGCGTTCAATATATTCGTATTGACTTAATTTAATTTGGCTGCATCATCACTTACCTAGATCTTTCCCGAATCCTGACTGCTTAAACCCTCCAAATGGTGCAGCTACATCTGTTTTATTATACGTATTGACGAAAACCGTACCAGCTTCTATCCTCTCAGCGAACCTGAGAGCTTTAGATATATCTTTCGTGAACACTCCAGACGCTAAACCATATTCTGTTGCATTGGCTCTTCTCAATACTCCATCGATATCGCTGTGATGAAAATGAATTAGATAACATTCAATTCATGTACTTATATGTAGATGTGCGAGTGATGAATTCAACCACATGTTTGAGGGCCGAAATTGTTCACTAAGTGGTACTATACATATACAGGATGTTCCTTAAGTACGTGTAGAAAAATCAGGAGCATGTTGCTGACGTCAAAATAAGAAGAAAAGTTCGTATAAATATATGTCCGAAAGTTATTCAGTTCTGAGATACAGAGTGTAAAAGTTGGATTCTTATGTGTCTTCATTGTTAATAAATCTCAAAATATATGTGATGTTCGAATAAAGTTTGGTATCTAGGGGTATTTTTCAATGACAAAATCGAATTGTATGTTAGTATGTCTCTTTCGTGGGGGTGGCGTCACCTATAACTCGAAAACAGTTGCTCGCAGCGACCTCTACCAGGAATATATTTTTTACACAAGAGTGTAAATGTATTTTTCTACAATAAAACGTGAAATAGGTACGTACAAAAAAGTTATGACTTTTCAAAAGACTTAAAAACTTATATAAAATGTGATATTGTCATTGGAGAATACCCCTAGATACCGAACTTTATTCGAATACCACAATTATTTTGCAATTTATTAACAAAAAACAAAAATAAGACCTCAACTTTGACAACCTGTATCTCGAAAAAAAAAACTTTCGGACATATACTTATACCAACTTTTCTCCTTATTTTGACGTCAGCAACATGCTCCTGAATTTTCAACACGTACTTAAGAAACACCCTGTAGATTAAAAAGACCAATCATATATATGTATAAGTAGTAGCGACCAAAATAGGAAATGAACTTCGAGTAAATATTACGGTAAAATCAGAGATGACATCGGCAGTGTAATGTTGTCATCTTCTTCTTCTTCGAAGCACTGGTGGGCGGGTGAACCCCCTGCACGTGGGCCTCCTTATTCGGGCCCATTGTGCGCCCACATGTTACAACATTCAGCTGGGTATGCCGACTGCCTTGGAGAAGTTCAGCAGCTTCCTCAGCTAAATCTCTTTTACGTCCTCTGGCCTCAAGATTATGTTGCCAAGGACAGCCTTCCTCTGATGCGTCAGTGCTTGACACTCAGTGAGGACATGTGATGACGTTTCGTCATCTCTTTTGCGAGCCTCTTCGAAGGTTCCTTTATGTGGAGCTTCGATTGCCTCATTCCTAGTGTGTCCTTCCATATTTTGAGGAATTGCTTTTGCAGCTGTTTCTCTATAGAGGACATTGCCAGGCTATTTGGTATTCCCAAGATTGGTTCCGGTCCGACCGGGGTCCGTCCTGAACCGATCTTTGCCAGTCTGTCTGCCTCCTCGTTTCCGGGTATTCCCGAATGTCCCGGAACCCACATGAGGCTGACTTTTCTTGATTTTGCCAGGTTTTCCAAGGCTTTTCTGCACTCGGACACCAAATTGGATGTGATCCTATTGGATTGCAAAGCCAGTATTGCAGCTTTGCTGTCCGAGCATATAGTGATTGGTCTATGACCTCTCATAATTAGGTTTTCTTGGACACAGGTGAGTATTGCAAGTACTTCTGCCTGGAACACTGAGGCATATTCGCCCAAAGGAACTGAAATTTCTTTCCCTGTTCCTTCATTGTATACCCCTGCACCTGAACCGCCCCCAAATTTTGAGCCATCCGTGTACCAGATTGACTCAATCGGAGGAGGCACGCCAGGTGTTGTGTCATTCCATTCTTCCCTCGTAGGGATGACAGTGTTTGGGGCTTTGTTGAAGTTCAGAATTGGCAAGGTATCATCCCTTCTCATCATGAGGATGGGACAGTTTTCCTTTGCCTTATTCCATATGAGGGAGTGGCCTTGATCTGCTTCTGTTCCGACCCACTGGTTTGCACCGTTGAGTCGGTAAGCAGTTCTCATGGCTTCGCGTTGTATGAACAGGTGTAGAGGCGGCAGACCTAACAGAACTTCAAGAGCCCTGGTAGGCGTCGTTCTCAAAGCACCTGTTATTCCCAGGCAGGCCAGTCGCTGGACTTTATCCAGTTCTCTGTTGGTCTTGCCCTTATTGGTACTGGTCCACCATACAATGGACCCGTACGTAAGTGTTGGGCGTATTACTGCCGTGTATATCCAGTGAAGGGTCTTAGGTGTGAGACCCCATGTTTTTCCAAAGGCTCGTCTGCATGCCCAGAAGCAGCATACAGCCTTCTTAGTGCGGTTTGCAATGTGCCAAGTGAGCTTGGAGTCTATTATAACTCCAAGGTACTTTGATGAGCTTTTATATTGGAGACACTTTCCCGAGAGAAATATCTCAGGAAGTGTTCCTATTTTGCGTTTCTTAGTGAATAGTACCAAGTTCGCCTTTTCTGGATTGACTCTTAATCCACTGGTAGAACACCACTGTTCCACTTTATTGAGGGCTTCCATGATTGGATTCCCTAGCCGGTTCGCCGATTGATTTTGGGCCATTATTACCAAGTCATCTGCATATGCTTGCGCATATAGCCCTGGCTTATTCAAATCTATGAGGAGCTCGTCTACTACCAGTGTAATGTTGTACAGGGTGTCCCATTCTTGGTGTTTTACGGGATATTTCGGTTATTCTTGGAGATAGAGAACTGCGATTTTCGCGAACATGGGCTATTTTTTGTGAAACTCATGAAGCCGCTAACGAAATTCACATAGCTCACTTCATTCTTGAGATACAGGGCGAAATTGGAAATATTGCATTTTAAGGCCCTTCAGCAATCATTCAACTTGTTACGTCCACTATAAATCTACAGGATGTTTGGAATGTTCTGCCAATAAATTCTTTGAAAATTTGAGAACTCATAAATTGTTTTACGTACAATCCAGTGGCGTAGTCAGTTTTTTGAAAAGAGCTGTCATAATTTAGATATAGCCCAAAGCTATATACTTCTTTGAATGGAACTCACCATATATTTTTGACAATAAAAACATGGATGCTTTGCTCATTTCGAAAATACATAACCCTTATTAGATATTATAAGTACCTATTAGCACTCTGCGCTCAGATAATTCCAGAAATAGGCCTTGTAAATATGAGTCAGCATTTACCATACGTTGTATGTTTTGACACACGCTAGTTTCAATTTTACCAACATTCAACATTCATTCTTATTGACCATGAAAGCTGTGGACCTAATAAGTAGGTTGCTTCAGAAAAAGCGAGTGTAGAATGATTCCTGTCACCTACCTGTCGAAGTTCACAAATATTCTATAGAATGGCGGAAAATAATCCAGCATACAAAAACTACGGAAAATTAGGAACCAACCTCTTGATATATCCGAACCATATCTAATTTGTTTTTGATATCCTGGGTTTTTACTCCCTTTTGTTTGAGAAAATTGTGAACTTCGACGGGATTATAACACGATCTGAATTTTCTTTTTTCCTATGCACCTAAACTAATTAGCTTTTATAGTAAAAAATGATGCAGATGAATATTGGTAGATATTAAATGTTGGTGAAATTGGAAGTAGCATGTGACGAAACTCTGTGTGCAGCTTTTATGTTCTGAATATTTAAATATTTACAGTGTTCTATTCAAGAACCATAACTTAGCTATCTGAATAATGACAGCGCCCGTATCTCAAATACGCATCAGCAGCGTATGAAAACTTCGTTTGCGATATTGTGAGACTCACAAGAAAGTAGCCAACGTTCGCGTATACTGCAAATCTCTATCTTCAAAAACAGGTGAGATCCCATCCCATAAGGACATCAAAAATGGTACATCCTGTACTTATTCCTATCATAGGCTGGTTATGGTAGGAACAACCAAGGTTGGTAAAATTGATGATTTTTTGTAACGGAAGAGGTTGCCTCGATGAGAAAAAACGTTGATGGGTGATACTTGTAAATAAAAATCACTATCCAAATTCTCACGAATAACCCCAATATTGACCATTTTCTGATAATGTAGCCATAATACAGATTAAGTGTTCGAATACAAACTTATATTTCTTAGACAGACAGTATGGCCACTCACCCATTTGAAAATTTACTGACAATCATTATTGGACCGAATGATTCCTCTTTTGCAACGAACATGTGATCCTCAACATTAGACAAAACTGTCGGTTCAAAGAAGAATCCAGGTCTATTCACTCGTTTGCCTCCACATTCCAATTTGGCGCCTTCTTTGACTCCTGTAATGATAATTGTTCTACAGTCTGTCCAAGATAAGGTTGAACAGCATGGGGATCTCGGAAACGGTAGGAGATACGAAGTCGCTTAAATGGGGAAAAAGTTGCGCATTCGGAGGCTCATATCAAGAGCCTTCGAAAATTTTGAAAATTATTTTTAGTTCTTGAGTTATATCGAAAAAAGTGAATTTTTGGAATTTCTATTTTATTTTTTTTCTCCGTTATTATCAGAGATACAGAGAAACTGAAAATACTTTTTCATTGCAACTTTTGATGATGTTTAACGTGGTGATACCGATTTTGTTATGCGACGTTTCGTATTCGTGGAACCATCATCAACTTTTGTTTTTTGAATACGGTCCTGATAATTTTTTCACAGATTCTGAAAGGTTTTTTTATTCTGAAATCAACAATGTCCTATACGAGGTGATTCGAATGTGTTTCGACCTATTTCTATCCATCATCAATGTTTTTTCGAACTTCCAAAAAAAAAAGCCATCAGTTCCACTTATTTCTTATGATTTAGTGTCAAACTTGAAGGATTAGTTATTCAATACTGAAAAGTGAATAAAAAATATTTCACTACATCATTCGATCAATGCAGCGTTTAAAATTGTTGATGAATTCTTACACGAATTACTTTAACAACTTTACTTTGACAATACCTACAGAGACATTCATAACAAATGTTCAAAATGATAACCATTATTTTCTGAACAAAGATATCCTCTTCTCACAGTTGTTTCTGAGACATTGCTGAGCATTTCTGGGGTTATTCTATTGAATGCTTCGAAGACACTGTCCCTTAGTTCTTCTTCATCCTCAAAGTTATTTGCGTGTACAAAGTTCGATATATCCCCTAAGAAAATCAGGCGACCGCGCCGGCCAAGGGATAAAAACGCACGAACTTCTCTGGAATTATGTACCGGAGCGCCATCTTGTTGAAACCAACAGAGTTCTGAACTTCCGCAATCGGTAAATTATCCAGAGCTTCCTCAAGATGATTCTCAAGCGAATTTCTATAAGGTTCGGAAGTCTGTGTTTCATGGTAAATAGAAGGAACAATAATTCGTGTACCAAATATTGCAACTCACATATTAAAGCCAAAACGGTATTGGTGTCTCGCTGTAATGTATAAATGTTCATTTTCTCGTGAACAATAATGTGTATTTTTTCTATCGAAGCTACCATGATTAGTGACCATGCTTTCATCAGTCCAGATGATTGTTCGAAAGAAATCTGCAAAATTTTAACATTTCCTGGTATACCACTCACATAATGTCTTGCGCCTTTCGTCATCGCCTGGTTTTAGCGCTTGACATATTCTGAATTTGTATGGATGGAATTTTTGTTTCTGCAAAATGAAATGGGTTGTTGATTGAAACCAGTTGATGAAGTATTAGTGTGTTGACTAATTTTCCTTCAAAATAAGCGGAACTGATGGCATTTTTCCTTTGGAATTTTGAAAAAACATTGATGATGGCCAAAAATAGGTCTAAACACACATACATCACGTTGTATAATACATGGTTGAATTCAGAATAAAAAAACCTTCCAGAATCTGTGAAGAAATTATCAGGACCGTATTTGCAAAACAAAAGTTGATGATGGTTCCACGAATACGAAACATCGCATGAAAAAATCGGTATCACCACGTTGACCGTCATTGAAAGTTGCTATGAAAAATGTGCAACTTTTTCCCCATTTAACCGATTTCGTATCTCTTACCGTTTTCGAGATCCCCATGCTGTTCAACCTTATCTTGGACAGACTGTATATCCGTTATGAGAATCTCAACTTGAGACTAAACAGATAATTTATGATTCAACATATTACATAATCATTATGTTATTAATCTCCAATCACTAGATAATCAATATCTCACCTATTTCAGCATATTCAACAAGTTTTTTCAGATGAGCATAGTGATTTTGTGGCCCGTGTGAAGTTGATTTGTTCAGAGGGTCTCCAATTTGTATCTTTTTCGTTTCTTGTACGACCCTCCTGATGAATTCATCATGTACACTTTCTTCTACGAAAATACGTCCAGCTGCTATACAGTTTTCACCTTTATTGAAGAACACACTTTGCATTCCCTGATCAAAAAATTATTCATATAAGGAAAAATATGATAGGCTTTTCATGGAAACTCACCAATCTCACAGCTTTATCAAGATCACAATCTGAGAATATCACTAAGGGCGATTTTCCACCTAGTTCGAGGGATACCTTCTTCAAATTTGAGTCAGCGCAACTCTTCATGATGACTTGCCCTATTTCAGTGCTACCAGTGAAACCTAGTTTTCTAATGTGTGGATGTGATGCAATAGCCTGACCTGCTACGGATCCTACAAATATTAATACATAATTGAAATGGCTATGATTGATAGTGATACACTGAGGAAAATTTCTATTACCCATAGTCAGACATCGAACGAATTACCCCAGCAAGAAACCCTAATAGCATAGGGGACAAGCGAGTTATCACCTGTGATTATCAGATATAGAACCTTGCTGCCACTAGCGAGTGCATCTGTATATTGCTATTAGACGATGTTTCTTTAGTAGGTATCTGACTTTGCTACCGCTAGTGAGTGCATCTAATAATGGGAGTAGGTCAATGTTATAATCGTAGGTAGGGAACTCTGCTACTCTTGATGGGTGATCATATAGATAGTTGCATGACCTTCTTGCTGTGGTTATTCAGTCATTTTCCAGGATTGTTGTCATCAAGGAAGGTGAAATTTTGACTGATATTCAATTTTACTTTCAATAATTTTCAACCTGATATTTGGTATGAATAGCAATTTATTGATTCCTGAAGAAAATTTCGGACCAATGATCTTTCAAATCCAATAGATCAATTGATTCATGCACACTCAGGAAAAACGAAAGGTTTTTGAGTAATTGATGAAAAAAATATTTTTTCTGAAACTTTCTGAAACCATTGTATTTCGAAAACTAAGCTGGTTATTACAGATGCCTACAGGAAAACAAAATGTTACCAGTAAAATCATTCAAATAATTTCATAACCTGAACATTTTTGCTCACAATAAGTTTTTAGACTATTCTATAGAGAAGCTCTGGAACATATTCGACAATTTTGAAGTTTCGTAGTATACCAAAAAGAAGGGAATGTTGAATGTGAAATATTCGATTTTCAGTCGAAATACCTCAAAAAAACTCGGAATAATAATAACGGAAGCACTCACATCTATGAGAGCACTGAAAGCGAAACAGAAGATTTTTTTATGTGTTTAAAAATGTTTCCATTCTATATTTGAATTCAAATCCAAATTTTAAATAATGAATTGAATTCAAGAGGGGAAGTATTCGTAACTGTCGTGTCGTCGAGATTGTCGTCATGTACATGGGTTTGCATCAAGAGCCCAACTGTGAATGATTGATCAAGCAAGATGTCTGACAAATGCTTATATTTAGGGGGACAAATCAGCAGGCGCTAAATAACCCCAAATAGGTTCGTAAAATATTATTTTCGTGGCAGACTGACAGTTGTATTATTGGTAGTGAGTGCAGTTCTATGCGATGAACCTCGCAGCCACAAACATATAACATAATAAATTCACTTTCAATAGGATTTCAAGGTTCTTCTTCTATTCGAAAATGTATAACGGTTGAATGATTTCTTGTGATGGTAGCAAGAAATATCTCAGCAAAAACTCTAATAGCACGATTTTCCTCAGTATAGCTAGATAATAAAACACTGTTATACAGAGTGTTTCGTAATATATTCGCAGGACTTCAGGATGTGATAGCTCGTCAAAGAATATGACAAAACGTCTTCATTAACATACTGTAAAATGCACCATTTCCGAGATACAGGGTCTAAATTTGAAAAAATAAACGGTTTTTGCGAATATCTCTGGAGTATGATTTGTTATTGTTTTTTCTGCAATTTTGCAATTATTTTGTTGACGTTTGGTTTTGTTACTTGTTCTATCGTTCAAATACATTTTGTTTAATCAGTAAAATAAATGTTATTTCAAAGATTTGACCATGTTCTTCAGCTCAAAAGTTGATTTTTCTCGAGCCATGACAAAGAGTACCTTCTTTGTGTAGAAAACATTGGCGGTTCAATTGGCTGCCTGCAAACCGTACTTTTTTCAGTGGCGTAGAAGTTGAGGAGAAAAACACCCACTACTCCTTCAAAAAACTAAAAAAATCAACATGACGTTCATCACAATAATGAGAAGAGAAAGAGATTTTTTTTATTTTCTATTCCTGCTAGATTTCCCAAAATAAATTCCTGCCATTCATTGGTGGTCAATAAAAATCCATAATTCACTATTATTCAATGTGATAAACAGCATTACCATTTCAATTGAATCATTCAGCTAGCTCCTCATTCTCAAAATTTTAGTAATTTCAACAATAATTTGATAATAAGTAAGACAGTTTTAAATTCATTTGTTTTCATTTTCTCATGAACTGGATTGTGACATAATATGAGAGATATTTGAGGACATTAGATTGTGTATATAAACCATGGTATTATCATTTAATTGGGGTTAGGCCGGATTTCATGATAGGAAGACAGTTTGAAATTCATTCGTTTTTGTTTGCTCACAAACTGGATAGTTTACCTGAGTATGATTTGGTATTGTTCATTTTTTGAAATCTTGAAGTTGACATTTGGTTTTGTTACTTGTTCTAACGTTTGAATATACATTTTGTTCAATTAGTAAAATAGAATTTATTTCAAAGATTTGACAATGTTCTCAACTCAAAAGTTGAGATTTCTCGAGGTTATGACTAAGTAGTACCTTTTTTGTCTAGAAAACATTAGCGGTTCAAATGGCTGGCTCAAAACTGTACTTTTTCCACTGGCGTAGAAGTTGGGGAGACAAACTCCTAAAACTTCACCAATTATGACTTAAAAAATGACTCTAGGATGTGATAGCCCGTCTAAAAATATGAAGATTAGTTTTTATCTACCTACCCTCTGAAATGCACTATTTTCCAGATACATGTTGTTGAAATTTGAAAAAAAAGTTTTTTTGCGAATATCTCTTGAACCGTTCATCGCACGGAAAACAGCTTTTGTAAGCATTTTCTACTCATAATAAGTTATGTTTAGAGCGAATTTGTTTTGGTCATAATAGGTGAAGATTTTGAAGAGTTAGTGAGTGTTTTCCTCCCCAACTACTACGCCACTAAAAAAAGTACAGTTTTGAGCCACCCATTGCCAATGTTTTCTACACAAAAAAACTCTTGGCCCTAAGCTCTAAATTTCACCGTTTTCCGAAAAAAATCAATTTTTGTATTGAAAACCATGGTCATCACCCTGTATCTCGAAAATGGTGCATTTCAGAGGGTAAGTTGATAGGAACTTTCTTGCATATTTTTGGCTATCTCATCCTGTAGTCCTGCGCATATAATATGAAACTCTCTGTATATTATATTATTTATTTTGTCTTCTGATTTTTCAATAACCCCTCTTTGTTTCGAAGATACAGGGCGAACAACATTTTTGAGAAACCATTGGATTATACTCCCTCATTCAGATTTTTTTCAGCACGACTGTATCATGGTAATATGGTCGAATGAGCCAAATATGATCGTAAATGAAGTAAGTCTATTATGTTTGGGACTAACCTGTTCCAGTAACAACATTTATAACACCAGGTGGAAACCCTGCTTTGACAGAGAGTTCAGCAAACTTCAAGGCCGTGAGAGGACAAACTTGAGCAGGTTTAATGACGACTGTATTTCCAGCAGCCAGACAAGCTGCCATCTTCCATGATAGCATCATCAAAGGGTAGTTCCAAGGAGTAACCAAGCCACAGACGCTGAAATAAAAGATCAATGCAGCTGTTGAGACTGTATGGGGTCTTCAAATTCTCGATAGCACACATAAAAATAACTGATGTCAGGTACCATACATTATACAGGCTGACTGACAAAAAACGCCCCAAGCCATAGAGCTGCTATTTATTATTCGATTTTGAAATTCAAAAATGCAAATCAAATGACTTATCAGATACTACAAGGTGGCACTAATTTTTTTTTTCAACAATTTCAACCATAACGTCAGCAATTGTCGACTTTTTTTTTCAAATGGAAACATCCTTTCTAAATTTTTTTCTGAAAGAGATTATTTGTTTGAATACAATGATGTAAAACAAGTTGATTTTCGCACAGCATTGGTTGACAAAAATCAATGCTCCGCCGACAACAAATGGATTTTTCCATTACATTGTCTATCATTGAGTCATTGAATGTGGCAGTAGATGTCTTAGAATCAACTATGGCCATGAGCTGTCAGTGTGACATTTGCTCCATGATACAAGCGTACTTCGCATGCGATAGAAATAGTGGTTATGCATTGCGACTAAGGTAGCACCGAGGGATATGACGCACGTTTTGAAATTTATCAATTTCTCAGTTATTACTTACTAGTTTTTCATGCTCATTGGATTTTTATCTACCTACAACCTTATTGTATCATAAGCACGAAGTATAGGTGATTCTGATTGTGCTAACTAGTATTAATTAAATTGGTTATGAAAGTTGAATTTTGCGTCATATTCCCAATGGGGTTGGGAATATGACGCTTGAAGGGTTGGGGATATTGCTTATGGCAAATTACATATGGTCGGTAAAAAAAAGAGAAAAAATTAAAAAAAAGTGTAATCATCCGACAAAAAACTTAAAATAACAATAAATTAAACTACTGTAATCGTTTTGGGAAAAATTACTTGGAATGTGAAGTGGCCACGACGTACTGTTGGAGATGGCAGTATTTTTTAATACTATTCACTTGTATTATTGATTCGTTTTTTGCTTGGGGGAAAATGAACTGTAATTTTCCCCTCTTCATAAAATTAACAGTGACGTCTTGACCTTCGCATTTCGTAACAACACCAACATAGTACAGCGGCTTCACCTTTCCCACAAACTGTACGAGAACGTAATCGTCAACATTAACGCTTTCCACCATTTCGAAAAATTCACTTGTAGTTGGCATTTCTGAAAAAGTACAAAATAGATTCCTAAGTTCTTAAGAGACGGGGATATGACGCGCGTCATATCACTGGATCACAATGTGCGTCATATCACTAGCTAGCCACCATTTTATTTATAAAATAATTAAATCATAACAAAGACCCACATGACTAAATTTACTATATATAATTAATTTTAGAAGGCATACAATGCGATACAATTAATAAAACCAATTAAAAATCTAGAAGGAAGCATAAAACAGAGCTTTCAAAATGGCGCTAAAAAACTTTAACGTGTGCGCACCTGATTCAGACGACGAAAATGCGTGCTGTCTTGTTGCCGGTTGACTCAACACTGAACTCCTTGCTGTCTACATGGTTACCGGCAATGGAAATAAAGGATGATCAGATCATAATGATCATAGATCACTACATAACGGAGATGGAACAGTCGCGTCATATTCCCCACCGCGTCATATCCCTCGGTGTTACCTTATACGTTGACCGATTTCCTGACAGAGAAGTTCCAGATAGTCGTAAATTTGCTAGGCTCGAAGAAAATTTGAGAAACTACGGAGCATTCAAGACACTTAAACGCAAGGAACGTCAATTTCATAGAGATGTCGAATTTGAAGTTCTTCTCAGTGTAGAAAAAAACCCAAGGACTTCTACTCGAGCAATTGCTGAAAACATTGGCGTTTCGCAACAATCCGTGCAAGCAATACTCAAGACGCACAAATTCATACCAGCGAAGAGACATTATACTCTTTTGGATGCACTAACTATAATTTTGAAACCATTGCATCTTCTCCTGAAGATGCTAACAGTTCGCGAAATACGTGTCGAGGCGTTTGGGTCCATATACATCATCAGAACGTATCGACACAGACCGTCGATTAGTAGGAATTTATTTGACTAGAATAGTAAGAAATCAGAATAGCAAATCATCAGAACCATATTTCAGCGACTGCAATATGTACAACCCGTAATTTGTCGAACCGTACTTTGACAGACTGCATTATGTCAGAATGCATAAATCACAATAGTATATCGAAAGACTGCCATATATTCAGAAGTGTACTTTGCCAAACCAGTAAATAAAATACTCTTCATGTCGTCAGAATCATAAAAATATATAATCGTAAAGTCATAGAACCGTAAAAGCACAGACTGTAATTCAGCGACCCGTACTCTGTAGACCACCATTTCATCAGAATGAACATTCCCGACCAGCAAACTGGCAGAATTGTGATGTACAGAATCTGAAAATTGCAGAATGCGAAAAGTTCATACCCGTAAAAAGACAGACTGTCGATTTTTGATACCCGTAAAATGAAAGATCCGTACAATGACAGACTCGTAAAAGCACAGACTGCCAATACTCTAGATCCGTAAAATGCAAGAACCGTACATCGACAGACTCATAATCCATCGGACTACCGGAATTTCCAATCCATAATTCATCAAAACCGTAAAACGACAGACCCGTAAAACAGCAGAATCGTAAAATGTCAGACTCGTACAATGGCAGAATCGTGCAGCTACCAAACCCGTAAATTTTCAGAATTTTTTGGATTAAGACCCGTGAAATAGCAGAACCGTAAAATGGCAGAACCGTACATTGACAGACCCGTAAAACATCAGAACCGTACATCGACAGACCGTCAATATACCAGAATGTGTGAGACGCGTGGAGACTCGGAACAAGCGGTAGCGCATTGTTGCCAAGTTGGATCGATAGAAACTCCTTGCTATACCTACTCAAATCTGATTCAAACTGTTTTATGAAGAATTCTAGAGGGCTGAGATAGGTTCGTACATTGTAGTATTTGTGTTTGATAATCTGTTTGATCCGAATCAGGAAGATATTGACATGATAATTTGATTGTATCAAGATAAAGAAGTATATATCATTCTTTTTGTTGTAAAATCAAATAACAAAACATCAGACATGTGAATATAACGATGTTTTCTATGTATAATAGGAGAATCTATTCTCGGAGATTCTATAAGGCAGAAATGGAATCATTGTATGTCCATTCCTGAACATATAAATATTGGAGAAAAACATCAAACTTTCAAACTTTTCTATAGTCATGGTCTGAGATTCGGATCAGAGTGTATACCTTTCAATTTGATTCTCCAATTAAATAGTAGATAATATAAATAAAGAACTTGTAGCATTTGTATATCGCTATTTCGTTTCGGGAAACCTACTCCCCAAGAGTTTTCGAATCTAGTGATTTCTTATTGTCAATTGTGCTTAAATCCCTCACATGACTTCAGTTATAGATTATATATAGGGTGTCCCAAAATTGCTCTACTTGAAGTAGAGGTCAAAATAAGTTGATTGGACCCAATTCGTTTATATACCAAAATGTTCCGTTCGTCAATGGGGTACTTTGTATGTGATCAATGAGGTACTTTGTATGTGATCAATTTCATTTGCGTTTCGGATATCATAATGACTTCATTCATCTTCCATGAAATGTCGAATCTCAAGCAATGGCGGCTCGAAATACCACCTGTTGGTTGATCGAGGAGGTGTTACATACATTTCACTTGAATATTTGGGATTTTCCCTCCTCGCTTCTACAAAATAATAATATGAGCATAATTTCAATATACAGTGTGGTCATTTAAGTGTGCAACATATGGGAATATTCTTAATGAATTGCACAACCAAAATACAGATAGTGCCATGAGTTGGTGCATGTTCGATCATCATTTCAGGTGCACTCAGAATAGTTGCAAGTCAAACAGCATACAGGGTAGGTAAAAAGATATAAAAAGTGCTCAGGAGTAAAGTACCCGTATTTCAAAAAATTCAGCAGAATGTTATTGAGAAAAGTTGTTCACAATTAAAATTCATACCTAAATACCATAGCATGGCTTCCTAAGACATTCTTCAGCTCTTCAATTCCTTTCGTTAATAAATTCCCATTTTTTTTTCAAATTCAATCATATTTTTGCATTCAACTTGGATTTCAATTTTTATAGGAAATCACAAACTTCATGTTTGTTGCAACGATATTCAGCTCAACTTTGAAATTTTGCGAACCCTATTTTCAACAAGGTAAAACATCATTAATGATAATATGCATATTCAAAAACCATCATTTGATGTGAACATTTTGTATTTGAAATGTTCATCAAAAAGTTGAACAAATTGATCGGCAACCATGATATCTTTCGAAAAATCACGGACACCCATCAAGGAACAGAACAAATGAGGGTTGACAGTAAATATTGAGGCAGTTTGGTGATATACTCCTTATCTAATGATGTTTTACCTTGTTGAAAATATGGTTTGCGAAATCTCAAAATTAAGCTGTATATCGTTGCAACAAACATCAAGTTTGTGATTCCCTGAAAAAATAAAATCCAAGTTGATTGCACAAAAGTGCATTAATTTCAACAAAAGTATGATCAACTGATTTTGTTATGATCAAATTATGAAAGTGTTTAGGGTGAATATAAAAAAAATACAAATTGGGAAGTTATTAATGGAACAAATCAAAACACTAAAATATGTCTTAGGAGACCATGTTTTGGTATTCAGGAAAAACTTTCAATTGTAAAGAACTCATTTCCATAACAGTTTGCTGAATTTTCTGAAATAAGGGTACTTTACTCCTGAGCATTTTTTATATTTTTTGACCTACCCTGTATGCTGTTTGACTGTATTTTGGTTGTGCAATTCATCAAAAAAATTTCCATATGTTGCACACTGTACAAGTACAGAGGATTTGCCCCAAAATTTTACTGAAATTCAAATGGCACTCTGTATGAATAATTTTACGTAAGTCGATAGAGCGAAAAAATACCTTTCAAATGACATTTGT